GCTCCAACGTGGTCGACATGCTCATCATGCGGGGAGCGCGCATCAACGTCATGAACCGCGGTGACGACACCCCGCTGCACCTGGCTGCCAGCCACGGCCACCGAGACATCGTGCAGAAGGTACCTGCCTCCCACGGCCGGCACCCTGCCCTTTCCCCGCTGCCTTCCAGGCACCCACCTCTGGCACAGCCCCGTGCAAACTGAGCCCTGTCCACCCGGGACTTGCTCCCCAGCCGTCTGCCGGCTTCCTTGCCGTGAGCTTACTGCGTCCCCACCTTGGTGCCTCTGAGCACCTCCACCCTCCCCACAAAAGCCCTGCATCCAGCCTCAGCCCCCTCCCAACAGCAGACCTTGCCAGCACCAAGGCAGCAAACGTGCTGCTGCTGGGGGGAAGGGGACCTGCTCTAGATTTACGGGGATTGTCCTCCTGCCGCCAGCTGATCCAGTTCAAAGCAGACATCAATGCTGTGAATGAGCATGGGAACACGCCTCTGCACTATGCCTGCTTCTGGGGACATGACCAGGTGGCGGAGGTGAGTGGAAGCACTTGCACGCAGGCAGGAGCCCCGGGCGAGGGAGGTGACTGAGGGGGACATGGGGAGGGAGAGGAGGGACAAGGCAGGAGGCTGGGTGTGTATGAAGAGGCTGAGAAGAGGACAGCAGACTGTGCAGATGTTTGCTTTCTCCTCCCTCAGGACCTGGTGGGCAATGGGGCTTTGGTCAGCATTGCCAACAAATATGGTGAGACGCCCATTGACAAAGCCAAGACACCACTACGAGAGGTCTTGAAAGGTAGGAGGTTCTCATCCTGACCCCACAACCTGCCTTTGGCTCCTGCCGCAGCCCCTGTGCTCAGCACCAGCGATCTCTCTGCTTGTGCTGCCAAACTCCTTGTCCCTCCAGAGCGTGCTGAGAAGCTGGGCCAGAGCCTCACCAAGATCCCCTACAAGGACACCTTCTGGAAGGGCACGACCCGCACGCGTCCCAGTAAGGACAGGGTCTTCCCTAATGGGGATGCCATTGCAGGGGAGAGCACAGCTCTCCTGCATGGTAGGGCAGGCTTCTGGGGAGGGGGCGGCAGTCTGCACTGCGAACGGCTCGTTCTGGAGATGGAAATCCCCTCATTGAAGGTGTCTCCTCACTGGTACTGCCTCTCTCTGCAGTCCCAGGTGGACGTCAGGAGGAAGGTCCACGCAGCCACAGGCTGCATCTCCTCTTTTTCTTCCAGGAAATGGGACTCTCAACAAACTTGCTGGAATAGACTTCAAACAGCTGAGCTTGAGCCAAAAACTTAATGAGAACCAGTCAGGAGAGGTACGTAGGCCTGTTGCCCCTCGGGACGGGGTAACCGCACCCATGCAGACCACTGCTCTCTCCCCAGCCCCTGGCTGGCTGCGGAGGGCAGAACTGGGGCACAACTGCTTGGTGGGTTTTCCACGTCCAGGCGTGGGGCCAGCCCACACAGAGAGAAGGCACCTGCCCAGGACTGAAAGGCCAGGGTTCGCTCTCACGCTTTGTCGCAGTCACTCCACGTTGCTGTGGACCTGTTGGTCCTGTGGGCTCCGTGGGCCCCACGGCCCCGCGCAAGGGGCTGGGAGGTGCTCA